TTCAAGCTTCAAGGATTCAGAAAATGTGAGATGACATATGGTGTTTATGTTCAGCATACATCTGATAGAAATATGATTCGGGTGTGTCTTTATGTTGATGAAATATTGCTAACATGTAGTTGTTCAGATGAGATGACTGAGTTCATGAAGGTGCTGATGAATGCGTTTGAGATGACTGGTCTATGAAATATGGTATATTTTCTAGGGGTGGAGATTTTGTACTCTGATAAAGGTATAATTTTGCATCAGCTGAAATATGAACTTGAGCTTCTGAAATGATTTGAGCTAATAAATTGCAAGTCTGCAATCACACTTGCAGAAACAAATTACAAGCTGGACTTTGATGTTAAGGATGATGATGCAAATGCTAAAAATTTTAAATAGTTGATGGGATCATTAAGATATCTCTGTAACATCAGACGTGGTCACATTACCAAAGTGGTCACATTACCAAACTGATGTTAGGACATTGAGGTATATTAAGGGGACTCTGAGGTATGGAGTTTTGTCCTCTTATAGTGCTAAATATGATTCAAAGTTAATATGCTATTTAGACTCTGATTGGTGTGAGATAGAGTTGACATAAGAAGTACTTCTAAATATTTCTTCAAGTATCTGGGAGGTCCCGTTTCTTGGTGTTTTAAAAAGCAACCAGTGGTTGCATTGTCAACCCATGAAGTTGAGTACATTGCAGATGCTTTGTCTGTGTGTAAAGTTGTTTGAATTCTGAACTTTTGCAGGATTTGAAGATCAAGGAAAGCAAGTTTGTGAGGTTGATGATTGACAAAAAAAAAATTTATAAGCCTTACCAAGAATATAGTGTTGTATGGAAGGGGTGGGCACATTGACACAAAGTTCAATTTTATGTACAATCAGGTTTATAATAAAGTGCTTGAAGTTGTTCACTCTAGCACTAAGAAACAACTTGCTAATGTGCTAACCAAAACAATAAAGACTTAACACTTATCCATTTGAGGTATGGAATTGGTGTTTTTGATTTTAATTAGTTGAATATGAATTAAAGGATGATGTTAGTTGTAATTCAAATTTAAGTAGTTAGTTGCATTTTCTTTAAGTGTCATTTGAGTTTAGATTGCATTTGAGTTTCATCTTAGATTCGGAACTTGTATATAAATTGAATTTACATTTAGTTAGTTAGAACTCATTGTAAGAGTTTCTATTAGAGATTGAAAATTAGTTACAACTCTCTCTTCCATCATCTTCTTCTTCATTCTTGTGAACTAACACTCTTGATAATTCTATTAGACTTTGCTAGTAAGGTTAAATCTTCCCCCAAGAAAAGTTGTAACCATACAAAAGATTTCCAATATAAGATGTTGGTTGAACTTCTAAGGTCGACCAAGACTCTCTTTATGTTCCACTTAAAAATAAGCACCTCAATATCCATTAGATCATCTTCTTGATAGATAATGCTCTTTTGGTATTTTGTTTAGAATGTCATGTACGGGAGTTATAGAATTTCTAGGTTTTTAAACAACTTTTCTACATTATCTTTTTTCCTCATATATATATTTGTTTGGATGAATTCGAATTTTTCGCCTCCAGAGAATCCAATGGAAATAGTTTTGAGATTATGTATGACTGAAGGGTTTTCTTTTTAGTTGTGTTGCTTCTTTTATTCTATTTTGGGAGATCAGTGGGATTTCTTTTTGATCAGTTTTTATTTTGTTTCGTTTGTTTATGGCTAAGAGTCTTCTATGTATTTCTTTAGGTATCCTCTTTATATCAAACTTTCAATTTCTCTCTTTATTTGATAGTAGTTGTTGATTTTGTGTCCATTTTCATGATGGTATAAACACCACTAACTCTCTTTAGGGCTCATCTCGTCTTTTGATTTAGGTGGCTCGTTCAACAATCATATGTACATGATCTTCTTTAAGAATTGAATCCTTATGGAGTTCATCCGAGTTGTCATAAATTCATATTTTATTTTATCACCATGTCGAAACTTTGGTCTATTTCACTACTGATTATCTCAATGTCTCAGTGAATAATTATTCTATGGTTTTTCTTTGGCACCTTTGTTCTCGTTTTGTTGTTGCTCGCTTTCCATTTGATATAGCATTAGGAGTGCTTCATGACTTCATACATGCTGGTTGTTTTTGCGTTGTAGATTTTTTAAAATGTCTAGCCTTGAGCTCGTTCTTGAACGCCTCTACAAACATTTCATGGTTTGGATTGACGACTTGTATAGTGGCTTTGTTGAACCGAGCGAGATATTATTTAAGGGCTTTGGCGCGACCTTGAGAGACGAATAGACTTATTGTAATCACTTTTAGTATTTGCTTCCTAAAACCTAGTGAACCAGTTTTTTCAAAATGTTAGTGTACCTCGTAATATAATATCGAGGTAAATTCATGTACTACCAAAGTGAAACATCCATTAGAGTTCCTGATAGGAATTTACACTTTTATGGCTCTAATTTTTTTATTATGGTCATCCATGTGTTGATTGCGGTCAAGTGTTATTGGGGTCCCTTTTTTCAACGAAGATCTCCAAGTGAGGAGGCTTAAAGTTCTCTTGAAGAAGGGTTCCTAAATTTCTTGACACATAGGCCAAAGGTCCAATAAATCTTCATCAAGGTCTTCCTCGATGATTCTCTTGTGTCGAATTTCATTAACTTGGTTTGTGAGGCCACATTTTGACACCTCAATTAATCTATAATGGCTCAATATCAGGTTTTGGTTGAGTTCGTGTCGTCGTCTTAAGTGTTGTACAACCAAAGTGTTTCTTTTGTCAGTGCCCTATGGTGGACGCTAAGTTTTCCTACTCTATTAGGTAGAGATGGACCTTGCTAGTACTATGTTATGAACAAAGACTTTGATATATATTGGTGGGTGATATGGTTAGTCTTGCCAATGGTGTCCTATGATAAGAAATCTGGTTGTTTAGTATTTGAGATTATTAAGATATATGTTGAGTTCCCTATTTATTTATAGAGACAAAGGCATTTGCTTTCACCTTTATTTTAATTGTAGTATTTAGATTAAACTATAGCCTCGAAAGGGATGACTTCATGGTTCGACAATAGTCGAAGATGTGCGTGTCATATATAGTCAAAGTTTTTTATTCTCTATTTTTTATCTTTATAATTTTCTTACCGATAAAAAAATCGATCATACTCTATCATTCTGACATCGATTTCACAACATTGACGTTAGTGTAGCCATTATACTCTAATAGTAGTTAGAAACGTATTCTTCTATGGTGGCGTTGAACAACGAGGTGTTGACTAATATGGATATGCATTTACTCTGCAGACCATGTGCATCTGTAGATATCTGCATGATTTGGCTTGGGTTGTGAGTGTTAGGATTCAGAACAAGACCAAAAGTCCATGTCTAGTCAGGGCTAGTCTATGTTATTATGGTGTGGTCCAATTTTCTTTCTCCTCTTATATTAATAATAGTTATATAAAAAAAATAACACACAATGTATACTCTTTTATCATTAATGAGTAGCGCGTTGGCATGGTTATTAAAAGAACATGTTTACAGTGACTCTCTGAAGCAAATATTTGGAGCTTCAAGTTCAAGCTATCTAGCCACACGTCCTCACCGTGATTTACAATAAAAAAAATAATAATAACTCATTTTTTATTATTCATACTTACCCTCTTCTTTTAGATAACAAGAATAACTCATTTCAGTCAATTGAACCAAGACCTAGTCCTATTTATCTTTTCACCATTTTCTTATTACAAATATTATGTGTTTCACTTTACTTTTTATTTAAAAATAAAAATAAAAATAATATTTAGTTGTTATATCTATACAGTGACTAGTAAAATATTATAATAATATTTTATTTTATTTATTTTTATTTTTTAAATTAAATAATATTGATATAAAATTATGTGATTAATCAACTTTATAGTTAATTAATTTTTTATATTTTATTAATTTATTTTATAACTTTGTTAATTAATTTTTTAAATTATTATTTTTAATATTCGTTTATTAATTAATTTCATAATTTTATTAATTAATTATTTACTTTTTGTTAATCAACTTTGTTTTACTATTAAAATTTGATCTGACCTGATCAGAAGAGAATCAGTGACCTGCCACACTGATGCCAAAGTGAGTAATGAACCAGAGTGAGAGCAAATACATAAGAGAGGTTAAGAAGTGAATACCTGACCCTCTGGTGAAAGAGAGTATTTATAGAGACACTTCAGCGCAGGGCCAACGGTCACTTGCGTTGGGCTGAATTATCAGGCACAACTCAGGTGACTGCTAGGGCTTACGTGGCGTAGTGAAGACCAACACGTAGTTTTCGCCCTAGTTCAATCGTCCCGTGATCTCCGAAAGGTGGGCTGACCAGCTCTTTCGGAGGTGGGTAGTTGGCTGATGACATGTTACCGCAGAGGGAGCACGTGGAGAACGTGTGGAAGACGTGAGAGATTTTTCCCGACAGAGGGAGTGTCTGACCGACTGGGAAAACTGTGCCCGACACTGAGCGACGGATAGACACTCCCTGTCGGACACAGACCCAGTCCAAAACAAATAAATAACGTTGAATTGGGCCTGCCCGACGGATAGACAGGCCTAGACTCAGTCCAGAACAAAATTTATTTTATTTATTAACCAACTTAATTATTTTATTAATCAATTTTATATTTTATTAACTAATTTTATTTCACAATTTTAAAATTATTATTTCTAGATACCATTCACGACACATTATTCATAAAAATATTTTTTTTATTTAAAACAAATTCATCGGTGAACAGTATTATTTAAGAAGTAAATATTTTATATAAAAAAATGTAGGAATAACATTATAAATACAAAAATAAATGTAGGGTGCTACAATAATTACTGCAAACGTACATAACAGATGAAAACATTAATTATTTTTCAACCACACCGTCTATACTATCATCTCCTATATTAAACTCTCCCACTCCTTCATTTCAAACACATTCATTCATCAAATATAGTAACTATTTTTCTTTACAACTTCCAAAAATTTCCATGGCTAAGTTTGAAGTATCTCCAATATTATTCTTAGTGATTTTCATGGTTATTAATGGTGTGATCATCAAAGGCCAGAATGTTCCTGCCATGTTCATATTTGGTGACTCACTTATTGATAATGGTAACAATAACAACATGGCTTCTTTAGCTAAGGCTAATTATTTTCCTTATGGTATTGATTTCAATGGAGGTCCAACTGGTAGATTCTCTAATGGCTACACCATTGTTGATGAAATAGGTATACTACTTACACTCCTCTCTTATTCATTATTTTCTTACTTATATATTGTTTTAATTTTCACATGCATGATTAAATTTTATAGTATATACCTTAGAAAAAAATATTCTTCTAGTTTGAAATTTAGCTAGTGTCACTAGTGAAAATTTTCATATTCCTTTTTCCAGACATACGAGATCGGTTAGGGTTCTGAGATAAGACCAATTAGGGTTTTAGAAATTTTGTATAAATTACAATTAAATCGTGACATAGAGATTTAATATAGTTCCTGGTTAATTTTGACAAATATATTTTAAAATTTTTATTTCAGTATGATTTAACTGTGGCAAATTTTAAAAGTCTTAAAATTGTGATGGGAATACCAGCTTTTCATTTTTTTGTCTTAATTTCTACTTGAGTAGTTTCTCTTTTTTTCTTCAATGAATGACTTTTTGTTTGGTGAGCATGACCAAAAGGATAGACAAATCTCTTTCATGGTTTTCTTAAAATTGATAATGCATTAAATAGAACAAGTTGCAATGTCTACTCTAATTGGGTAGATTAATTAAACCTATCAACAACAAACAAAATTCATTTTCATACTAACATAAATCTCTCTGTCACATCATATAATTAATATTTAATCATTCTCCAACCTACTACATTTTAACTAATTTTTTTAAAAGTAAAAAATTTATTAAGTTTTCTTAAAATAATGATTATACTAATGTTTTAAAAATCAAACTGATCGAATTAGAAATTCGCTAGTTCACTAGCTGGTTATTGTATCTTAATTTGAATCGCTTAAACTATAGTTAATTTTTTAGTACTTTATAAAACTTTTTTGTTTAGTTGTTTGTCGTTCGATTGAATCGTGGTTGAACTGATTGAACCATGACTCGGAGGTTTCATCGGTTTTTTATCTTGTTATGAATGCAGCTGAATTGCTTGGACTTCCCTTAATTCCTGCATACAATGGAGCCACAGGGAATGAAGTGCTTCAAGGAGTAAATTATGCTTCCGCCGCTGCGGGAATCCTTGATGCCACCGGAAGAAACTTTGTCAGTAAAAACATAAATCACTTTATATTCAGCTCGATTTTAACTGGTATCAACTTTCAAAATCAATTTTTGTTAACGCAGGTTGGACGCATCCCATTTGATCAACAACTTGGGAATTTTGAGGATACATTGAATCAAATTAGAGGAAATATTGGAGCAGATAATTTGGCCACACAACTTGCAAGATGCATATTCTTTATTGGAATGGGAAGCAATGATTATCTAAACAATTATCTTATGCCTAATTATAACACAAGAAATCAGTATAATGGACAACAATATGCTAATCTCTTGGTTCAAACATATGACAACCAACTCAATGTAAGTTTCTTTGCAATTGACTCTGAGTCATCGTGATTCTGACAAACTCACCGTGATACCAAACATATAATTTGATTATGAAAAATAGCTTATGTATTTATTGTGTGTGTGATATGATAGAGGCTTTATAATCTTGGAGCAAGGAGATTTGCGATTGCGGGATTAGGGTTATTGGGATGTACTCCAAGCATATTGTCTCAAAGCTTGAGTGGAAGTTGCTCTCAAGAAGTGAACTTGTTAGTGCAACCTTTCAATGAAATGTTGAAGGGGGGAGGGGGGGGGGGGGGGGGGGGGGGGGGGGGGACCATGTTGGGCAATCTCAATAATAATCTACCCGGTTCTAGATTCATATTCCTCGATAGTACTCGCATGTTCCAGGAAATACTTTCCAATGCTAGATCCTACGGTATGAATCAAAACATAATCAAAAGTCTATGTGTCAGTGTCGTGTCAGTGCAGAAATCTTATACACTTCAGATTTGAAGAATATATGTCTATGGTTATTATGAGACTAATATTTTAGTGTTTTTTTTGCGCGTAGGATTTACTGAATTGAATAGAGGATGTTGTGGACTTGGAAGAAACAGAGGTCAAATTACTTGTCTACCCATGCAAACACCATGTCCTAATAGGAACCAATATGTGTTTTGGGATGCATTTCATCCAACAGAAGCAGTTAATATTTTGATGGGAAGAATGGCTTTTAGTGGCAACACCAACTTTGTCTACCCTATTAACATTCAGCAACTTGCTCAACTGTAGTTTTGTGTCTGTGAGAATCTTCATGTTTCATCTCAATTTTTATCTTTTCAAGTGTTATTAGTTACATTTAGGGCAAGGAACTATATTTAGAGACAATATTTATATCTGTGGTGTATTGTTATATGATGATATGAATTCAGCAGTGTTATTTGCTTATCTATTTTAGAACAACAATTAGTAATAAAACAAAATTTTATCGACCAATTAAGTTCAATTATTTGATTTACTCTCTAATATCAATTATAGTATATAACAAAAAAAAATCGTTTACTTGTTTAATTGTCTTGTTTGGATTCTTTAAAATAGGTGTGGTAAATAAGTAGTGGTTCCTACTTATTTTCAAACACTGTCATCATTATAGTAAGTTCACTTGCAAAAAAGTTTTAATTTGATTAATAATATAAGTCTACTTCAAAACAAGATCTCAAGTGACGAAATACAACCATGTATTGTATAGAAAAAACCTATTGACAATTTCTCTATCATGTGCTACTCCACCAACTGAATAGAACAGTTTCTGTAATATAATAATTCAGATATAATCCAAGTGACAGGGGAACAATTCAGATATAATGAGGTGATTAAAATGAATTGTGTAGAAAACCTTATGTATATATTGTAAAGGTGATGGAGAGTTAGGTTTCATCCAATTCATAGCAGAGGAGAGGAAAACCATTGGAAAAAAGTTATAGGCCTTTATTTCAGCCAAGTTTTACCCTTTCCCTAGTGGTAGGGAGTACCCATATGGCATGTCAACTACAATGATGACAGACCTATAGGTTAACACATCAATGTACGCAAACAATGCAATGACAATTGCATCTCCTTTTCATCCATACATGGCATCGTGATTTGCTATAAATAGTAATGGTCGAATGGGTCAATCTCATAGAGGGTTGGTGTAACACCCATTTTAATTATTTAGTTTTTTTGAGTGTTGTTGTATTTTGGTGTGCTCTTAGGTGGAGGTGTGTTTGAGTGCATTGGTGGGTGCCCTAATTTATAAGGAATTATTTGATAAGTGGGGAAATTAATATTAATATAATATAAATAATATTGGTGATAATATAATAGTTAAAAGTAATTATTATTATTGTTATTATTATTACTAGCGTCCAAACGTGCACGGAGTGCCCGTTTGTCCGCTTTTTTATTGCGCTAACGCGCAAAAATATTAACAACGTATTTTTTTATGTATGACAAACTCATCTCTTATATCTCAATTTATCCAAAATAATGTAATTTAGTAGTCACAATATATTAATGTTGTTTTACTCTCTTTTATATGACATTTTCGTTCTTCTTCCACCTCCCTCCGTTGTGTTTCTTCTTCTTCTTCCTTAAACGCTCTGTACCTTCTTCTTCTGCCGTCCCTCCGTTTCTTTCCACCGTTTGTCCGTTTTTTTTAATTGACACACATATTAAAATATAAACAGATATTTTTTAATCTAATGTTGTTTTTAATATAAATTATTTTTAATATAAACTTTGTGATATATTTCTTTCATGTGTATTTATATGTTTTTTTAAAGCGTACACGCAACAAATTCTAAAATATTTTATTTTCTTAGTTTTTGTTTTAAATTAAATAAATTGGCAACTTAAATCTTAAATTAGTAAGTATGACCTCTCTCAACAAAAAAAAATTAGTATATAAGAATTATTAAAAACCATGTAGAATAACTAATCTACATAACACAAAATAAAATAAAAATAAATCACGAATATTTTATTTGATGAGAATGTAAGTGGCTGAGTAAAACTACAATTTTTTATTTTACAAATAACTATTATTGTCTCAATTGACAATTATTATGTTTGAGAAAGTTATATGAAAAAAATAAAATTTCATTGATTAAAAAACAAACAACCAAGAGATTGATTGAGAACATAATTAAACATAAAATTTAACTAATTAATTTAAATTAGGAAAAATGTGAGATATATAAAAATTAAGTAAAAGAATTTAGATTTTCTTTTGGAATTTGTATTTTTGTTTCAATTTAATTAAAAGGCGTGAGAGGATATTTAAAAAAGAAGATAATTAAAATAATAAGTGGCTCAAGTTTTAAGAGTATTTATTACAAAAATAACTGCCCTATTTTCATACTTTTCTCAATGTATTTGTTTATTATTGGAGAAATAATATTAAGAAGCATAAACTTTTTCCAAAGATTCTTTTATTGATTTTAAGTAATACAATTAAAAAAAAATTGTAAGCAAGATGATTATAGTTGGTTATCATTTCGTTGTAACTGTCAGGAAAATTATCACATGCAATTATACATTGTGTAATGAGGCAACAATTATATGGTGTGTAGAAGAATAAGTTAGAAAAATAAATAAGCGAGTGACATAAATAAAGATCATATAAAAGAGAGTAAAACAACATTAATATTCAAAATAAGTTTGAAAATTCAAGAAAATTTTTATAAACACAATATATTCTCATAATCACAATTTTAAAAAACAGTAAAATCATTTCCAAAATAATTTTGATGATTACAATAACATGATACTATATTCTACCCATTCAACACGACAGTTAGTGAAATGAAAATTATAGTTTAATACGTACACATTCACTATTGTTCAAAATAAATGAGTATAGCAGAGAAAATTTGCAAATATTAAAACATAAATGACGACTGACAGTTTCATAATTCAAAATAAATGAGTATACCAGATAAAATCTGCAAATATTAAAACATAATTGATAGTCACACACATATAAACACAACTCAAAGATTCAATAGTGAAAAGAGAGACAACTTACAATCTAAAGATTCAAAATTGGTGTGAAAGAAAAATTTGTAGTAACTACCAAAGAGAGAAATGATTTGCAAGTGAAAGAGAGAATTTGGCAAAAAATTAACGATAATTAAGTAAGAAAAATAGAAAACAGAGAAGTTTTAAATTGAGAAATGAGCAGTTATTATGTAGAAGTTTTAAATTGAGAAATGAGTGGTTATTATTTAATTGGTGTATTTGGTAGTTTTAAAATAACGGTTAAAGGGCATAATAGGTAAACATAAAAGCTACACCAAACCATTGTTATTCCCTTTATATTGTTATAGATTATTATTATTATTATTATTATTATTATTATTATTATTATTATTATTATTATTATTATTATTATTATTATTATTATTATTATAAGATTTAAAATAAGTGGAATGAGGATTAAAGGAACATTAGAGAAGTTTTCTGGGAGAAGAAGAAAAGTACGATAAAACAGTTTAGGAGACAAGGTGAGAAGGAAGAGCAAGGGAAGAGAGAAACAAGGCCAAGGCTGCCAAATTCTTCAAGATTCTTCATCAGTTGAGCAAATAATTGAGGTAAAGGGGGAGAAACTGATTGGGATTGGTATATTACATGAATTGGGTAGAGGAGATTCCTTAACCCCGTAGGAATTTGATAAATATGATCGATATATGATTTTGTCTGTGTTTATTATTGTTGTTGCTGCCATTGATGAATTTTGTGCATACATTTTATGGTGTTGGTGGAATGCTGTGTAATTCCTGTAATATTGGTGATAACATGAATCGTATGATATCATGTCTATAGTTGTTGTTGGTGATGGTGATGAAATTCATACATTAGTGTGAGTATTGGTGAGATTCTGTGTAACCTCTGTGGGTTGGATAATGACCATGAGTATTGGTGGGATTCTGTGTAACCTCTGTGGCTTGGGCAATGACCATGATATAGGTTCTGAGGTAAAGTTTAAGGAACAATTGATTAGAGTAGAGTGTGATGATTGTTGTAGATATTAATGAAGTTGCGTATTTGTGGTTAGGGGATTGTTGAAATCCGGTATAATTTCTGTAGTAAGAATGATGAACATGAAATAGGTTCCGAGGGGAAAATTAAGGAGCATATAGGTTCTGAGTAACTCTGTAGAGTTGGTGATGAATATAATTATAGATTCTGAGAAGAGAAATTATGGAACAATTGACTAGCGTAGTGTATGAAAATTGTGGTGCTGATAGGACAGAAGTTAAATGTGGGAGAATAGACTTGAATTGAACAAGATGGACTGTTTGGAATGTGAGGGTTTTAGGTAGCGCAGACATTCGCTAGCACCTTCGCTAGGCGAGTGAGTAGCGAGCATTCGCTAATGCTTCGCTAGGCAAGCTGGGTAGTGAACACTTCCAGTAGCCACTGTCTGCCTTCGCCAGCAAGTTGGCTAGGCGAACAGGTAGCGAGCATTCGCTGAGGCCTCGCTAGGCGAGTGGGCCAGCGAACGTGACAGTAAGTGTAATTTTTGTACTATTGAGCTTTGTTATCTCGTCGTATAGGATCCCTTTGGTTATGATGAGTGTAGAGGTGCTGAGGAGAGTATCGTTGAAGATAAAATATGAATTTCCCTTAATATTTAATTTAATTTAACGTAGAGGAGTGGTGTGTATAATTATGGTGTATGGTGATGTGATCAGAAGAATTGTGTATATTAACTTAATTAACATAGTTGATTAGTGTGTGATAATTATATATGAGGGTAGGGATGGTGCTTAGTGGCGAAGAGTGTATACTTGGCGTTAATAGGTGAAATTATGCAGTGATTAAATTTAATTGTTATAATAGATTGGTGTGTAGTATGTATGGGATACAGTGATGGGATCAGTGAGATCGTGTAACTTTAATTAAAATAATTAATTGATGGGTGATATGTATGTATGATGTATGGTGGTGTGATTAGGGGATCGTGTGCACTTATTGTGCTTGAGTTGATTTGTTGTGCATTTGGTGTTGTGCATATCATGGTGGTGTGGTGGGGAGAATCATTGCTCAGACGGAGCGTATGTGATTCATTCGTGCTCCTTTATGGAGAATGGTGGGGACAGATCATGGCCAAACGGGTGCATGTGCTCTATCCGGGTTCGATTGAATGAACCAATGAGTCGGTACCACATGCATGGTGTTGTGTTGCATATTTTTATTATGGTGTGTTGTGTTGATGTTTGACAGTTGGTCGTGTTTGATGAATGTTG